CTGCAGGACTGGGTTTGGAACTGAAAAATTCTCTCCTGCAGTTCTTGGGACCCTCTTTCTGAGATCACGTTCCTTGTGTCCCACCAAGTTTGCTTGAATAAGGAAGAACCAAATATTGGGATGGGATGGGGATGACAAATAAGATGGAAGTGTCCACTTTATAGCTGTATGGTAAATAATGTTGCAAACTAATTCAGGAATAGCAAGGGAGGATTTGCTAACAGCAGTCTCTGTTCTCCCCTTGCATTGCTGCTGGCGCTCACAAAGCAAAGGTCAGCGTCAGCCTGGCTCTCAATTCCTCCTTACCTCTGGGTTTCTGCTGGAAAGCAATGGTTTGGGTTTGTTTTTTTTAATTAGCATCTGTTATGAAAATATGACATGGAAACCATGCAAGTCTTTGGTTTATATTTCTGGTGATTTGGCAGAGGCAATTCACAACTGCTTTTGAAGCATCTTTCATCTGCCTTTTGGGGCTTTTGCTAGAACTGAGGGTTTGCAAATACCAACATAGTTTTGTTCAACTGTTGCAGGAGTTTGATTTCTTCTAATGTCACATGTAAATGTTTCTCTTTACACTTCTTTTTGTCTGCTGCCTTACTGTCCTGTTTATTGCTTTTCCAGCAAGGTGTGTAGTTGAGCGAGGTTCTCCACCTCTTTATTTAAAAAATGCAACCTGTCTACTAAAACAAAAGAACCTGTAGTTTTTACTTTTGGTTTACCCGTTTCACCCTAATTCTCTGTTCTTTCCCTGTGAGGTCTATTAATAGTAGCAATATGCCAATAGGTATTTGTGGTCTAGTACTAACTAGATTTGGTTAAAATATTTAAGAGTTCAATTGGTGTGTGTTTACAGTTGATCAGACTTAGCGTGGGTCCAATCCAAAAATGAATCAGTCATCACTGAGAAATTTCATGTCAAATATTCTTAACTGCTCCCAGGCCTCTTCCTCACACTGACAAGGACATTTAGTGTCTCCTGGGTTGTTTTTTTGTGTTTTTTTTTTTTATTATTATTTTTTTTGTTTTAAATAGAGTTTTATAGACAAACGAATGACAGGTTCCTGTCTGGAAGAATTTACAATAGAATATCATTAAATCCTTTGCTACTCTGCACCACAAATAATCATAAATAATAATGTCTCGACACATGTAGTGGCACTTTATCTTCAAAGTACTTTGCAAATCTAAATGATCATTGTCTGTCTTAATAAAATATTTCCTGCTTTAAACTATGCTCAGGCTCCCCGATCAGCCAGCGTTGCCTAGGCTGATTTTTCTGCTGAACATGAAGGTGTTATTGCCTTCACCTGTTGCCTTCCTGCTTGCTTTTACACATATACCTTGTCCTTTGCACAGGGGAAGCAGAGCTGTCATAAAGCTTGGCCTGGGAAGCTTCTTTATCCTCTCTGCTGAAGTCAACCATGTCAAATGTAGTCATTTAGCAGAATAGTAGCCAAAAGCCACAGGCAGAAAAGCAGCATCCACTTGCCAAATCAGCACTGCTTTAGGATGCATGTAGCATCTGCAGGGTTATAGCACCAGAGGTAGGAATAACTCTGCTGATGGTCAGAAATGGAAATTGTTCAAAAGGAGTTCATCAATGCTTTCTCTTGGTGGTGTTTACACAGAAGTGAAGTATTAAAAGATCTTGTGTTTATTAGAACTATACTTTGATTTTCCATTCTCTGTCCCTCAGAATACATATAAGGGTAAAAAAAGAAATGCATTTTATTTCTGTTTAGTTGGATCGGAATAGGAGCTCTTCTACAGTTGTGAACTTCTGTTAGAGGATAATATTGATTCCCATAGTTAGTACCTGTCTTGACATGGTGTATTAGTACCCAACCTGCAGCTGGTCGTCAGCGTTCTCTATATTTTGAATTTCAGGGGGGGGGGGAAAGAATGTTTCCAGTGTGTTACTTGTTCAGCTGTTTCTTGTGGGACACCCAAGTTCAAACACTGGTGCCATCAGCAGTCTTGTCACTGCTCTGTTGTGTTTCCCTTGGAAGACCCAGTTCCTTTTTGCTCGCAGCATCCACAGCACGGTGTGCTTGGTACCACATTTCTCAGCCCCTGGGAAGTGGGGCACACTGGGGACATCCCCCTTCAGGTCAACTGAAAGGCAGCGTAGGGAAGGCAGGGGGTTCCCTGCCAGGCAGGGGGCTGGTCTGGGCAGGGACCATGTCCTGCCTCCTGCCGAGGGAACCCAGTGACACCCTCGATGCCTCCCTCTGGATTAAGGTAGAGAAGCAGTGCCCTGTCCCCTCTGCCACCCCACAGTTCATGTAAGGCCTCCAAGGGAGTTAAAGCTCATTAACTCTTCTGCCTTTCCTGGGGATTACCTGTGAAGTCCCTGCTAAAGTGTATTGTTGTTAATGACTCCAAATAGAAATATGCAGATCCTCGTACCCTCTGACCTTGCAAAGTTTTTTGACCCCAGGGATGCTGTATGGCATTGAGATCCAGAGTTTTAATTCTAAGAAGTAGTATTTATATACTAATCTGAGATTTTTGACATGTTTCTAACTTCACTGACTTGTTATTGTAAAAATAAAATCTCTGATGAAATGGCTGGAAGCACTGGTTGATTTGTATAGTGTACACACTGATGTATTTGTATTAGTATACTTTCGTTATTTGGTGATGTAAAACAAACAAACCAACCACCCCACAAAAGCCCCCTTTCATCTTACTCTTTCTCAATCACTTGTTTATTATTATTATTAAATTTTTACAATCTCTCTGTGAATCTCTGTTCCACCTTGCTATGAATTCTCTATTTGTACCTCAGCCTCCTAGAAGAGACAGCACTTGTTGCTTTTATGTAAGTCTTGTGTTTTTTAATAATTTCTTCCTTTCTGTTCCTTCTGTGTGTTAACATCGGGTGCTTTCATTAACTGCAGTTTTGCACTGAATTAAGGGTTGTCTTTTGAGGCATACAATCAGGTTTCCTTTCTTGAGTTGCAATCTAGCAAGTGGTACTGTTGGCCTAAATGAAGATAAAAATACTAAAAGCATAAAGAAATGTATTGGCAAGTGAGTGCGTTAGGAAATGGGAGAAGGAATTTGTGTGGATTTTTTGTATTTCTTTCCAGAAGAGACTGGAAATCAGTTTGAAAGTTTAATGTTGTCAGTAGAAGAGTTGACAAATTCAGGTCTCCTTGAAAGAAAATTCTGGGTATTTTGCTTTGAGCCTTTCTACTGCATTTGTCATATTTGAAAACTTTATGACTTACCTTTTTGTTTCTTTTGCATAACTACAGGATCTGGGAATGCGTGACTGGACAAGAGCTGAGACTGTGAGGGAGCTACAGTAGAGTAGCCAGTATTGACACAGCTAAAGTTCAGGGTTTTTTGGTGTTAATTTTAACTGTAAATCAAACCTCATGAATGTTAGCTCATTTATAGCTAGCTTTCATGTGCTGTACGTATTGATATATCGCTTATTTACAAGGTGCTTTTTTCCATCCTGGCCATTACAACCAGCTGCCGCTTTTGTTTCTCTGCTGAAGTGATTTAAAGTTGAAGTGTTAAAAATAGTGATCAGTGGAGACGTGTGTGCAGTTCCCTTCACATCCAAAGCTTCCCCCCAATACGTAGGGGTGGACTGCCTGCCCCGAGAGGCCCTGCAGCACTTTTGGGGGACTTTAAATCCCAGCCTCCCAGGACAGAAGTGAAATCGTCTTGTTCATGAAGATGTTGGTGCAGCTGGGGCTGTTGTCAGGGTTTCCTATGTCTGTGTGGCGTGGTGTGGATGCAGGGGTGCTGCAGGCTCTTCCTTACCCACTAGGTCATCCCAAGGGGCTACATTGGGAGAAGTCAATAAATAGGCTGGAGCAAAGTGGAGATGTTAAAAACAAAACAAAACCTCCAACCAAAAAACCCCAAAGCAGGCACAGAAGGTGAGGAAAACAGAAGCCCGTGGCATGTCTTGGTGCTGTTGCTGGAGTTTCAGTTGACAGCTCAGCTTGCTTTGTTTTTCTAAACATCTTCCAGCTGCTTTGTAAGGACTTCAGGAAAAGGCTGATCTGCATATTGTCAGTATTCCGTGTGACAAACCTTATGTAGTTTTATCTTATGTAGTCTAACTTCTTTGTTTCCATGCATTTTTCTGTGAGACATTTATAGGCTGTGAAAGGTGCCTACTAAGGCTTCAGTGATAAAATACTTGACTATGACATCTCAGACTGCTGAAGGCTGTTAGTCTCAGTGCAGTTGTTTTTAACACAGGCCAGCAAAGCAAGATTAATGTTTTCCGTGGTCAGATATAAATCATCAGGCTTTGATGTGTTGATGTGTTCAGAGAACTGTCTTTTATTGTAAACTGAGGGAAGATTAAGCCTAAGTGTGAAATATAAAGCTATACAAATAAAGGCCTTTGAGATATTTAGGGAAAAGTTACTCACTTAAATGATTTGGAGTTTCTCTTCCTAGTAAAATAGAGAGCAAAACCATCTTATATGTACTTTGTGTCTGTGGTGATACTAACATTTTTGTAAATATGGTCAGATTCAGGTCATACAAATCAATACCTGAGTAGGAGAGGGAAGGGGCTTTGGTTTCTCCTCTTCCTCACTGTGACCTGATGAGCAATTTGTATTCAGCATTTCTGTATTAAGGCTTCAACTCTTTGCTCAGCCTCACAAGTTCAGGGCCTCAGGGTTATTACAGCTCATGCATTAATGAAAAAAATCTCCCTAAAGATGAGTGTGAGGAGCTAGCATGAATCATTCAGCATTTGAAAACAGGACAGCACTCTGATGTGTGAGTCTGTTCTCGAGCTTACAAGTGTATCGAGATGCAGAAATTCCCATTATTCTGTTTCTTAAATTTGAAAAGTTGGATCAAAGCAGTAAAAAATGAATGTTCATGGTCTCAAGTTTGGCTAAGGGTTCATGTTATCTGTTGGCCTCAGAGTGTCATATCATGCAATAATGTATTTTAAATATTTTAGATTAATGTGTCACTTTTGACTGTGTCATTTTCTTCTCTAATTTCAGCCTTCCCAGGAGAAATCATGGATGAAAAGCTGTCTTACCAAGAATTTCTCGATCGCAATGACTCCTGGACGATGGATGACAGAGATCTGTGCTTTGAACCACAGCCTGTATTCAAACCCATGGAGATGGCTGGTACGACTGTATTACTCTTCAAACTGCAGCATCACTTATTTTATCAGTTGTGTAACGTGATAAAGAGTCCTAGCCTCTATCCCTAAGGGTGGTTTTTCTCTCTTGCCTCGTACTCATGTGTGTGTTCTTTAGGATTTATTGCTCCTAAAACGTGTAACACCTTGACACCAGAGTTAACTTTGCACACCAAGCCCCTAACTTGCCCTGGAGCATGGTCTAGCAGGTTAAAAATTGAGTTACTAGTCCAGTGTGCTAGAGTACACAGAGAGTGGTGAGCAGATTTCCCCCTGGCTTGGCTCCCATGGCGACAGCATTTTGGTTGACTCCCACAGTTTAACCACTCTCGAGTACCGTGGCTTTCAGTGCAAACATCACCAAAATTGTTGCCAGCTGAAAGCCAGTCTTCCCTGGCTCTGGGAAATGCCAGTTCCAGCTGTCACGTAACTGTGTCTGCAATGCAGGTCGGTTTGTTCCGGAGGCAGCCTGTGTAGCTGCTGACTCTCTTGAAAATTAAATGAACCTTGTATAACCTGCCCCTGCAAAAAAAGATACCCTTTTCACCCAACAACTTTTACCCAATTTTTCTCTCATTTTTGAGAAGGCTTACTCTCATTTTTGAGAAATCTATGTGCTGCCCAGATTATAACAGGCAATAAACTTGGGCAAAATAAGTGGCTGAAACAGGATGAAACTTTTTTTTTAAATATACATTTTTGAGCACTGTAGACATGCTTACTAAATTATTGTCTTGCTGTCTGAATCTCATATTTACTAAGAGATTCTGTGAAGAAATTAATATTTGTTACAAGGGTAAGAAACAATTCATGGAACGACTGGAACAGAAGATCCACAAGTTTCTAAAATGCAGTTGTTGGGTTTTTCCCTCCTATTGCTTTGTTGGATGAAAGAATGGGATGTTGATGTAGTTATGCTCAATAGCTAGATGACAAACTTGGTGATTAGGAGCAATTTACATACCTAGCCCATTATCTAGTATTTTTTGGCTTGAATAATGCAAATCTGTGGATTCTCTATTGCATGAAACCACATTTCCTTGGGTTTCATTGGCTTAGAGTATCTTTGCACACCTGTATGTGCATAAGGTACCATGTATACTTCAGTGTGAAAGTATTCCTCCGTGCTGCTCTTCCCTGGTACTGTGCAAACAAGAGATTCTGCTTCGAGGTTGGTCAATTCCCATAACTGAGCAGAGGGATCAGAGAGGATAGAGAAGCTGTAAGGAGAAGAATTGCAACAGCAGACTCCTAAATCTCGATGGGTTTAATAAATATTTTTATTCATGCTCTTTGGAAAACAGTAGGATGATTTCTGTCCCAAGGAGAGACTTCTACCTGGTGTAACAGGTCTCCCAACCAGCACTGCTGTAATTCCTTGTTCCTTGGTGAGAACTGTGGGCGAGGCCAGTTCTGCCACTTTGTGAGCAGCTGAAAGAGTGTGTTTGAGTCTGCTCTGGGCTTTGCTGTTCTATCCCGATGCTGTGTTGGGATCTGGCAGTGGGACCCAGGCTTATGAAGGTTACAGTTATGAGCAAAAATGTACATATATATTTTACACACTACCTGTAATAAAAATACTTGTTTTAAAAATATTATTGTAACGTAGAATGAGTAAAACTCAAACATTATCTACTGCTTGCAAGCTTTGAAAGTGCTGCAAGGCTCTTAATCACAAGTGTATCGTTATTACTGTAACTAGAGGTAAATATCTAAACATGAAGAGTTCCTGTTTAAATGATCTACAGTAATATGCTTTTATTAGTCCACAGTCATTAGCAAACTGGAACTATGTCTCTGAGCAGCGAAGGATACGAGCGTCTATGGAAATGAACTGAAAAGAAACTTTCACAAATGTTTTGTCAGTCTTACCTCCAGCTGTCTGGAAACAATACTCTCAGATTCTTAACACATGTCTGGCTTCGTAATATTCTAAACAAGCTGCAAATTTTGAGCGAGCAGAGAATTATTTTCAGGGCTCGTGTAATGCCAGATCTGATGGTTTCCCCAACTGGCCGTATCCCATCCACACAGCCCATCCTTACCTGCCTGCCTTTCAGTTCTCAGATGCAGTGTGTTGTGCTGGAAGTGTCACCTTCTCAGCAGCAGAGAGGCATCACTTAACAGCCACAAAAATGCTCAAACCTGAGTAGTGCACAGGCCCACTTTGAGTCTGTGGAGGTCTTTGGAGGTAGGAATCAAAAGTCTGGCCGTAATTCCTTCCACTTCTCCCCTTTTTCCCTCTAGAGCAGACAGGGTTTAATCTGGCTCAGCCATTTTTGTCATGTTGTTTAACTGCTGGACAGAGGGGGGATCATCAGCATCTCTTTTTGTTTTTAAATTGATTTCAGTAATGATGCTTTTTGGTGAGTTTGGGTTTTTGGGGGTGTGTGTGTTGTTTTATTGTGGGGGGGGGTTAATTGGAAAAAAGGCAGTTATTGAGTCTTGGTAATACTGTTTCAGACAGCTCGAAATTATAATTTTCTACAACTTATTCTGAAGCAAGCCATTGTCTTGGCACCTCAAATAGTCTGATAGTTGTAAAAGATTTTGTGCAGCTCACCTGATCGTGACATCTTGGAGCACTGGGGGTATGTGGACATTCGAAGTTTGGCCGTCATTCCCATAGATAGCATGACATAAAAATAATATAAAAATAAACCATAGCACAGATAGCCTGACATAAAAATAACTAGCAGCCTTCAGCTGAATCCCTTTTAATTGTGCTTAAGCAGAAGAAATCTGTGCAGCGTCTGAAAATCCGTGTGTGACAGCCATTTCGGGAACAGAAAGTTCTTCAGCTCCCGGGTAACGCAATGTGTGAGAGAGTTGTGAGAAATGTCACTCGTCTGCAAGAGGCCACTTGAGTCAAAACCTCTCATTGCTCGGCTGGACCTGTCTGGAGAGAAGTGCAGTGTTTGTCTGGCACAAACCAGCAAGATGTGTTAGGAATCACTGAGCCTAGAGCACATCCAGGGGTTTGTAAACTACAGAATAATTTGTTTGAGAGGAATGCCACATTTCGTTTCCCTTGCAGTGTCTTGCCCTTGACTGTATTATGGTGGCTAACTCATGGAAGGGTTCTTCGTTTTATTCTGTCAGTGAGGTCATCTGTATGCTCTGTGACTCATGGCATTTCAGTTAAGTAATCTATTTTATAAAACCCAGCTTGGTGGTGTTCTCTGTCCTGTCTGGTTTGATCAGCTGAGAGGAAAGGAGATGTGTGCACACACAAAATAAAACTCACAGGAAAGGAATTTCCTCTTGATGAATCTTCAGCTGCGGGAGTACCATCTTTTGCTGATAACATTAATATATACTTAAAACACAGACCAAAAGCAGAACAAATATCCACTTAAAACATGGACCAAAAGCAGAACAAAGCTCATGCACATTAGACCAATCAAAGCTGACACCAGACAACTTACAAACGTGGACTGAAGATCCTGACAGCCCTCACCAGTGTGTCTGGTCTGGAGCGAAGGGTGAAGGCTGCTCATCTGCCTGGGACACTGGGAAATGGGATATTTTCCTCTCTGACTTGTAAGTCAGTTAAAATACTGGCCCATCAGTCAGTTTATACTGGTGTACTGTTCTTGGGGAGGAGTGCGTGTAGCTTACAGAGGCTTTCCTCGATCTGCTGTTGAGTTAACTGATCCAGAGCTCAGCTGTTGTCCTGACTCAGGTCGTGAGTCCATCAGGTCAGAAACAGATGCCTCGTCCTTGAGAGGAGGAGACAGGTTCTCCATGCAACAATCATAATCTAAACTTGAATCAGTTTTCCCTAGGAAGCAGTCTGAGCAAATAAATTTGAGTTGCGAGCGTGATTGCCCCTGATAAATAATCTTGAAAGCAGCTTTCCCTTGGAAGTCCAGTGGTGGTGCCAAGTGCATCTTCATCTCATTTTTTTAAATAATCTCACTCTGAGTCATACCTTCCCCCTGTGTGGTGACACCGGCCTCGTTCTTGTCTCCTGCCAGACCCCTTCAGCATGCACAGAGGGGAAAATCTGCCTGATTTATCATTTTCTACTGACATGAAGAATGTACCGCTGTTCACCGACCATGTTGATGCTTCCAGAGACATACATGGTGAGTTCCTTCTTGGCGTTTGTCCCTGATGGTCACGTTTTGGTGTTTTCTCTGTTGACTTTCGTGTACTGAAAGATATTAAGATGCTAAGTACATAGACTATATAATCTCTTCACGTGATTATTTTTTTAGATTTGTGTGTGTGTGCCTAAAGCCATTCCAATAGCTACTTCCAGGAAGGGTTTTTTTTGAAGTATATTTAGGCAGAAGGAGATAAGATGTCTAGACAAGCAGGAGTTACCAGCGGCTCTTGTCTCTGCGGCTAGAAACCAAATATCTAGATGTGAACCTTCTCCACAAAGTGGTCTCCTGTTTTTGGATTATTGGAGTTTAAGTGGTTATTAACAAGAATTTGTGGGAGAAGAAGCAGGAAGCAAAAGGGAAATAATTTGCCTGTGTTTACTGTCTTATACCTTGTTTAAAAGTTTTTTATATATACATATACATACATACATACATGACTTACAGTGCATGTTGTAGAGGTGAGCTAACTGGAAGTGATGCTTCCAAACTTTACCTAAACTACTTGTGAGCAGAATAGAATAGTTTGTTTTCCAAGAGTTGTACAGACTTTAAAATTTGGCAGGGAGTCATTAGGACTAACATGGTGATTAACAAATGGCCTTTTGTTTCATTAGCACCACATGGATCTATGATGATACCTGAACAACCTTTCCTAGGGCCACTGTATTCTCCTGCGGAGGCTCTAGACCCATCAGCCTTCATTGGCCTGGATTCAACTGCAGAATTTCTGCAAGACAAAGCAGGTAAGAAACAGATGTTTTGCTATTACTGTCTGTCTTGCTAGCTGGGTTTGAAGGGTGTGCATCTTGGTTAGCTAGTCCTAAAGAATCCTAGTGGAGGAGTTGATACATAAAAAGAGTCAAGATTAGCAAATATTATATTGGCAATTACAGTGGTTCAGTGGGAATGTTCTGAAGATCTTAGGAGATCAGAATGGCTGAAGTTGGAAGGTCACCTTGTCCAATGCCATGCTCAAGCAGGGCCACCTAGAACCTGTTGCCCGGAAGAATTGAGGAAAAAACCCATTCTATTGGGTCCTTGGGTTTGTACTGTTTATAACTCTTCTCTGATGCAAGCTTTCACTAGCAATAATTGCAGAAGAACATGATGTTCTGGTACTATTCTCAAAGGGAACTGAAGAGTTACCTGAGAATGAACTTGCAAAACAGCAGAGTCAGTATCTTCAACTGAAAAAACAAAGTCGTGTTTGTGGCAGTGACAGGACTAAATGTATTTCTTTTCCACAGTGCCTGAAGAACATTGGATGGGAGCTCAGCATGATGTGCAGGGACCAGATACCTCTTTCTTTGTTGAGCCACCAGGTAAAAAAAAAGTTTTGATTTGATCTGCAGGAACTGTCTATGGAGAGTTTCTGAACAGTAGAGGCAGAGCTGCTCTCCTTATCTGAAACACAAGGCTGTTATGGAGTGAAGTGGGACCTGACCAGGAAAAATGCTGTTCCTGGTTCTCAAATCAATTTAGAATAGAAACGTGTGTTATACAGAGATCGTAGAATCATCATAGAATCCTAGAATGGTTTGGGTTGGAAGGGACCTTAAAAATCACCCAGTTCCAGCCCCCTGCCACAGGCAGTGAAACCTTCCCCTAGCCCAGGTTGCCCAAAGTCCCGTCCAACCTGGCCTTGAACCCTTCCAGGGAGGGGGCAGCCACAGCTGCTCTGGGCAACCTGTGCCAGGGCCTCACCACCCTCACAGGGAAGAATTTCTGCCTTACATCTAATCTAAATCTCCCCTCTCTCAGTTTAAAACCGTTGCCCCTTGAACCATCGCTACACTCTCCAATCAAGAGTCCCTCCCCGCTTTCCTGCAGCCCCTTTCAGCCCTGGGAGGCTGCTCTAAGGTCTCCCCGGAGCCTTCTCTTCTCCAGCTGAACCCCCCAACTCTCTCAGCCTGTCCTCACAGGGGGGTGCTCCAGCCCCCCCAGCATCCTCGTGGCCTCCTCTGGCCCTGCTCGAGCAGGTCCGTGTCCTTCTGCTGTTGGTGCCCCCAGAGCTGGACCCAGCCCTGCAGGGGGGTCTCAGGAGAGGGGAGCAGAGGGGGTGGGGAGCACACGGGTGGCTTTCTGGGCTGTGAGCTCACATTGCTGGCTCACAGGCAGTTTTCCATCCATAAGATGTTATTTAACACGCATTTTCTGGTTTAATGCTGGAAGAGGTAGAGAGAACCCTGTATTTATATAAAATGTTTACTTCTAATTTAGGGTAACAAATTTAATATGTGCACTTCCAAGCCCAACCATCAGTGGATACTAGTGGCATGCCCTTTTGGAGGCATATCATGTAGCAGGGCTTTAACCCACCGAAAGCATGCCCTTTCATGGGTTTGGGGGAATTAAGTTAGCAGATGTGTTGAAAAAAATTATGTTCAGCAGCAAGCTGTGTGGATTCCAGACTGTGTCTCCATTCTGTGCAACTCCATTGCCGTGAAGGTACCTTAATTTCCAGCTGGGATATGTGTTCAAGCATTACTTGACACTAAAATAATAAATAGGATGAATTGGTTTACTTCTGTAAAGAAACTCTAAAACTGGAACTTTAAAGCTGCCAAGAATTCTAGTCGTTGTACACACTGAGAGTTAAATCTGCTGACTTGAGTGGTAAGTCACAGCACTCGTGTTTGCTGTTTGAAGGGTCAGTGCAGCTGAGGGCACCAACAAACATCATTTTGGGTCATGCATAATCAACAGAATTTTAAACTAAATTCTAATTGCAGACCTATGTATTCTGTCCAGTTATCTTTAGATTCTGCTTACAGTTAAATCTTTGAAGCTCCATTGAGACATAATTCTGTTGCAGTTACATGTGTACTATCATATTTGATCTATAATGGGAGCTTTATTTAACAAGCTAAAAAGAGACTAGTTTACCACTGGTCCTAGGTAGAAGGTTTGCTGGAGCTGGTGGCTCTACCTAGGGCTCAGGGTAGAACTGGGGAGCGTTCCTCAACTTTGTCACAGCAGCAGCTTCTCTGAAGATACAAGTGTTTTCCTAGGTACTGCACAAATTTCTGAAAATTGACACTAAAACCCAATTCTGTTTTAGTCTGACCTGACTGGGGTGCTGAAGTGGGGGAGTTTACTCTTCAGGGTTGCTGCTGCAGGCAGCACCTTGAGAGGGTGAATCACATCCTGGCAATGCCAGAAGACAAAGCTGCCCTGATCTTTGAGTGCTTAATCCAGCTTGGTTTTGTGTGCCCAGTGCCCCCCACAGTGACTGAAGCAATGAGGCTGAATTGGCCAGAAGGCCCTGCAGCAGCAGCTCCTGATTTCACTCCTACTGCAGTGACAGCATCCCCAGGAGAGGCTGAAGCTACTGATGGACCGAAAGGTGTGGCATCAGGGGAATTTGGGCCAGTCTAAAGATTGCTGCTGGGTTTAGGATCCTTCATGAACAGCTGTAATGGTGGAAAGATGTGGGATTGCCTTTTCTGGAGGAATCATAGCAGGGTGTTAAATTCCATTGCGGCTAAAGGTTTAATTGTGTTGGTGAGAAATAACAAGTCTACTTGACTTTTCAACTCTAGTGTCACAGTCCAACAATTGATTTAATGACTCTACTTTCTCAAAACAATGTGAAGGTGTGACAAGAACATGGTTATACCATGAGTCTGATGCTACATGTAAATATCTTAAAAACTGTCAATTTTTAAAGACTCTCTTTAAAACAGAATTTTTAAGGTGCTTATATACAGCATCAGACTTGTGGTACATTTTGCACCAGTTTTTGTCCAGTTTCTTTATGCTTTATTCCAGTACTTTCCATGATTCACCGAGGAGCATCCATACTACTTTTAATATCTGTTTCTTTACTGTCTTATTCTCTGTAAAATCACAATCTTTTAAATTTTATTTTGGAGAGGATAATGATGTCACTAAAAATTAAAAAGACAAATCTAAATGAGGGCTAATGCATAATGGATCTTTTTGGTTTCGTTCACTGGAATGCTGGTTTTATCTAAATGGATCCTGAAGTGCTATTTTAAAAGGGACTTTTTCAATTTCTCTAATTACTTTCCTTTTTCAGTTTAAGTATCTACTTTAGATTTACAATCTTTTCCATTGTTTTGGGAGGATATTGTTAATGTGACTCAATCAATCAGTAGAAATTGTATTTTTAACACATACTCAGCAATATATCTGAGATGTTCAGGTCACTGTGCTGCTTTACACAGAGTATGGGTAGTGCTTGGGGCTGTTGAAATTAATAGTTGCAATAGAGAAATCTAGTGCTTCTGGTTTTTTGGCAATTTGTAGAAATTTGCCTCTAGACAGCTGAAACATTAAACTAAAACTGACTAAAAAAACCCCTCCTTTAAGGGGATTTTATGAAAACACGAACTTAAAATGCAGAGGTTTGACTGTGCTGTGAACTGACAAATGTTATTTTGAAACAAACAGCTCAGTGTGTAGTAGATGTTATGTAAAAAATGAACAAGGCCAAGCTGGGCATGAAAGAATAAAGGGCAGTTGGTGATTCACTGGATGGCAGTGTCTTTTGTGTCAGGAGTGCCAGTGCTTTTGCTCAAGTTGCAGCACCCTACCACCCACGAAGAGCATAAACAATATTTAAAATGAAGTACGTATGGCTCTGGAATGTCTCAGGACTTTTTCTTGCTGTTGAAATACACAGCTGGGCTCACAAAGGTGACACCAAAAGTTTCTTTGCCATGCTATAGAGGAAAAAAAAACCTCATTGTGATTCCTGTATGTATTCTGTTGGAATGTGTTGCTCGGGGTGGATCCAGCAGCTCTGGTCTCTTGCCAGCTGTATAGCAGCAGGTAGTTTTTAAACAAAAACTATGCATCTCTTGGCTGATGTGTCTTAGGAGCAGACAGATGTCGAGCCCTGTAGTCAAGGATACAAAACAAGGCTGTAGTAGGAGAAGCAGTTGGGTGCATTGAGAAGTGTCATGAAGACCAGCACAAGTTGAGTGCACTGGCATAAGGAGGGGTAAGTGGTGCTAAGAGACAAGAAGACAGGGAATGAAAGTCCCCTTTTCTCGAGTCATAAAACCACACTGTCAGGTATTTACCTTCTGTATTGTTGATTTCTGTGATCTGTGTTTCTGTAGCAGATGCAGCCTGTGTTCCTGCCTCGGGTGTCGTGTCCGTTTCTGCAGAAAAAGCTGGGTCTGTACTTGCAGGAGATGTGAAGCCTCCTCAAGCTCTGGCTGCCGGATTTGCACCTACAGCAGAAGCCAGCCCTCTTCAGGCTGTGGATGTTGGGTTTGCTCCTGCACCAGAAGCCAAGCCCCCAAATGCTGCCAACGATGCATCCACCCCAGTGGTAGATACTGGCATTGCCCCAGCAGCAAACGCTACATCCCATTATGCGACAGGTTGGGAGTTTGCTGCAGCAGAAGATGCAGGGTTTGGCCCAGCAGCAGATGTGGAACCTCACCATGCTGTGAGCTTGGCGTTTGCCCCGGCAGCAGATTCTGAATCTCACCATGCTGTGGGTTTGGCATTTGCTCCAGCAGCAGATATTGAATCTCACCATGCTGTGGGTTTGGCGTTTGCCCCGGCAGCAGATACTAAATCTCATCATGCTGTGGATTCTGAGTTTGCCCCAGCAGCAGATGCAGAGTTTACCCCTGCAGCAGAAGTCAACCATCACCATGCTGTGGATTCTGGGTTTACCCCTGCAGCAGAAGTCAACCATCACCATGCTGTGGATTCTGGGTTTGCCCCTGCAGCAGAAGTCAATCATCACCATGCTGTGGATTCTGGGTTTGCCCCTGCAGAAGCCAAGTCTGTCTCTGCAGCTGACACCAAGGTTGCTGCAGCTGAAGAGCTGATGACATCTGAGTCTTCTCTTGAGCAAGAGAAGCCACCCTTGGACAAGCCTCCTGCAGGTGAGTCTTTGTGCCTTAAAGGCTTCGTTCAGGCCTGTGAGAGCATGGCATGTGGTATGAGAAGGCCTGTGAGTTGGCAGAGCACTAATAGCAACACCCCTGGTAGCACACAGTGAGGGCTACACCAATGCCCAATTGTCGTGAGACTGTCAAATAAAAAGCATAATTGTTTAGCAGTTAAGATTATGATATGCCTTGCACAAAATTAAGCAGAGCTCAGTTCTGCTGTCAAGATACAAACAGGAGGTGCTTCATGAGGATTTTTCACTTATAAAATATAAAATTAGAATATCTTAATGATTTTTTTAATTTTTTTTTTTTTTTTACTTGGCATTCTTAGCAGCGATGTATGTTTTTTAGGACAGCCAAAGAGACAGTTCATCCCTGTTAGTACTATTGTATCACTATCACCCTTGGCTTATACTGAAATCTTCACAGATCCTGTAGGACACAGTATTTTCAGACAAAGGTTCTTATCTTGAAAATGGTTTCTGAATAGACTGACAGGCTTTGGTGATAATTTTGTGACATTTCCTTGAAATGACTGTAGGTGTCAAAGTGGCAAGGCGTGCATTTTCATTTTTTCCATGTGGTGGACAATAGATTTTCTGTGCTGCATAGATTTCTCAAAGGACACTTCCCTTTTGGAGAGAAAATTACTGTCAAAATACAGCAAATGATAATGGGCAGAGGTAGTGTATGTGGACTGATTGCAGAAGGAATCGGAATGAGATTCATTCTTTCTTACCTTCTAATACTCTAATGATAGGAATAGATTCCAAAAGAGAAAAGTTTTAACAAAAAAAATTTCTAGTAGAATGTAGTAGCTGAGAGGCATAGGGGCATGAATGAAGATGCAAATACCAGACAAGACAGGAAGGATATACTTTATCAGAAGGCTTAGGCTTTCAAGAAGGGAGAGCTGGTAGAAAGTGATCCTAAAAAGAAGATTACCACTGTTTGGAAAGTGAGGAAAACCCTTAGTTTCTTGTGGAAGATAAGAATTAGGTGAGGAAGTGTTTTTTGTGTTGCTTAATCTGATCTGAATTAAAAATAATATCAATTTTTATTCTTTACATTCTGTCTGCAGAAGCAACTGCAAATGTGGAACAAGAATCAAAAGTCCCAGAAGCTTGTGTTGATCTTTTAGAGAAAGCTAAAGACAGCAGGCTGCCTCCCAGCCACCATGAGGAGCATCTTCCAGAGCAGACAAGCCACCTTTCAGAACCAGCAGGTGAGAAACGCAGATTGCAGTATGCAACTGGAGCCAGGACTTTGCTGTCACCTAATTCTGCCCCACCACCTAAGTTCTTTCTCACAGATGCTGTTCTCCTGTCCCTATCAAGGAAAAAAGCAACAAAAGTTTAATTTAAAGTTAGTGTGCACTAACGTGGGGACTGTTAGAAATAGGTGGTAGTCTTAACATTTGAAATTACCATCATATAACTTGTCTTTTTCTTCCTCATCCATTGTTGCTCTACCAATGTCTGTCATAATTTTTACTTCTATTTAAAACTGAAATAAATTTAATTACGTATAGAACTGTTCTCCGATGTAATTATGTCTTGCAAATTACAACTGGTTATAATTATGTGTAGCTAGGAATTTTGTAGTGTCTGCATGAATATATTCGAAGCTGCGTATGATACTAGATAATCAGCATTAGACGGGGACTCCAGACTGATAATGGGGTATATTCTGGATTTGAATTCCAGTGGGAAGCTAGTATAGTCTGGATTTGGTTGATTACAAAGAGGGAAAAGAAAACAAACCACAAAACTAAAACCTGTCCCTGTGCTTAAACCCCAAGACAGTCTGCTTCGTGTTATACCTCCACCTTGGCATGTCTGCCAAAATATAAAATTGCTGCTTAAAATGGGATTGTGAGGAGATAATACATAGTAGGCTCCCATATCTTAAGATACTTTTATTCCTATTAAAAATAAACCTATACCCTTTCCAAGGGCTTGCTTTTAAAATGCAGGTTGCCTATATTTATAAGAACTGAAGCATTCTGTTCAAATTTTTCATATTTCAGTTCCAGTAGAAGCAAAAGAAGCTGTTGTACTAGAAAATAAAGACCTCCTTCCGGAAAAATCTGTTACTCCTGTGGATGTTACTGTTACAGTGAAACAAAAGGAAGAGCCTGAGCACAACCATGTCCAACATGCAGAACCTCACCAAGAAAAAGCCCTTCAAGAGCCCACAGGTAGAATATAAATCATAATTCAATTTTAGAATGGAAATATCCCCTGTGAACTATTCACCTTTTCCTGCTGAGTTCGTTGCCACTTGAGCAAGCGGAAATCTTTTTTGCACCAGGCAGCTGCGTGGTTCTTTGCTTTCATCGGTGATTCTGCTTGCACTTCGCCTCTGATCCCGGTCCTCTTAAATACTCTTTTCCTCTCCATGTTCACCGGACTAAAAGCTCAAATATGGTGCTACTAGTGCTCTATCACTGGGACTGGCTTATATCTTTCCTGCTGTAGAATTTAAAAGCTCACCATCTTTTTGCCATTCCTGCTAGCTTTTTATTTTAGTATTAATAAGGACCATTAATTCTTATTACAATATTCCTAGTGAAGACCTCCTTCCAAATTGAGTTTTGTAATTACCAAAGGAAAATGTAATTTTTTTTCCTGCTCCACTAACCCAGCCTCTCCGATGAGCTGTTATTGCTTACACTTGTGACTGGAGGCTGATTTGTGGGCCAGGGCTAACTGACAAACGACTGAGGCTCTCTTTAAAATCAGTGGCTTGTAGCTAAGGAAACCTAGTGCTGCCTGTAACGGAGTACAGCAAATGATTTCTGTTCTGGAGGTTCTGCCTTCCGCTGCTTCCACCGTGGGTGCTGGGGGAAACTTGGTGCTTTTACTCCCCCTTCCCCATTACGTCCCTTCTCTCTTCCCTAGTCTCATCTTTCCACTAAACTTCTATTTTTCACATTTTGAAAGGATGCCAGCTAGAGATATAAAAAAGTGGATCTGTTATCTTCTATTGCTAAGACAAAATGGATCCTTAATGCATTTTAAAAAAGCAATAGCATGTCCTTACAAGAACTGTTGCTTTTTGGTGGGGTAAGAGCATGTATCAGGAATTATGTATTTTTAAATAGCACTGACGTATTTATCAGTTGTAATTTAAATAGGTTTTACGTGTAAATGTCTATCCCAGCCCTACTGAGGTGGCTTTAGAATTAGTGTGGTATCAGTGCTGGAAAATTCTGCATATACGACTGTATGGACTGTTTTAGCTGACTAAAATCACATATATAGTATGTTTATTATTTTTTTATAAAGCAAATAGTGGCTTTGATGTTTGAGCAGGCTTCCTGTATTCCAGGTCTACCTACTGCACAAATAAGGCAAGCTAACAAATCAAGTGAACGCAGGTTTGGCAGAGCAAAACCTGCACCAGTGCCTCTTAGAGATGTACCAGAGGAACGTCTGATAGGTCTCCCACACCAGAAGAGTACTGACCTAAAAGTAGACCCCTATTCTCTAGGGGAGCTTGGATGTGTGGCTGGAACACCCCCTCGCACTAGGGTTTCACACAAAAAGGCGACTGAGCAGCCATCCAGTGTGCAGTCCGAGTTTGTGGAGAGCTGCAGAGATGTACCGAGGGAGAGCTGGGATTTGGAAGGTTCTCTGGCCATTGTGAAGAAAAAGAAAAAGAAACCAAAACAAAAGAGAAACCAGCTGCCAAGAACAATGGAGTTCTGGGATGAAAATGTGGCAGTCTCAAAAGCTCCTAGAAATTCTCCATTTGCTGTTGAATTGCAAAAACCAGATGTCTGTCCCATAATGCCTGCTGAAGCTTGCAAAGAGCAGTCAATTGCCTCAGGAAGCAGAGCTTCAGATATGCCAAAGGATGCTAAAATAATAACTAGAAGTCATATCCTGGATGAGCAAAATGCCTTCTCGGTGCCAGCACCAGGACAGCAGGCCCAAAAACCCAGCATGCCGTTAGAATCTGTGTTGGATGCCAAAAGTGGGGATGTCATGAAAAAAGAAAGGAGAGGTGACAGTTTGATGGGAGATGACAGTTTGATACTGCAGTCTAAATGCAAAAGAAAAGAGGTTCCCTTGGAGCAGGTGAGCAAGACGAAGGTGGGGGAATCCATCACAGCAAAGGGGCCAACCAAGCCTATGGAAAGAGATTTTCTGGATAAAAATGAGAAGAGGGAATATAAGGAGTCAAAACGTGCTGACCTGACAGCATCTCTTTCAGAAGTGATCAAAATAGAAACTCCTTTACAGACCAAACCTTCAGAACTGCTCCTTTCCAATAAAGAGAAGGAGGCTGAGAGCCCATCTCCCAGGCGTGATGCATTCGAGGACGCTGTCTGTCATGAGCTTCTGCCTTCCAGTGGATCACCAGAAGCAGCTGCAAAGAAAAGAGGCAGTTGTGAAAAAAGCAAAGGGGTTGAAAAAGAATCCTTTGCCCAACCTGCTCTTCTAGAGGCTGCGGCCCTGTCAGACAAGCCTCTGAACGAGCCAAAGGCAGCTGGTGAAACTAAACCAGTATTCTCCAATAAGTGCATGGCCGTTGACTTTAGTACTTCAGAGGAAGTATTGAAGACCCCAACAGATACTACTAAAATGCCTGTTACACCATTAGTTTTACCAAAAGATAAGGAAGCTGCTGCTTCACAAAATAGGAAGGCTGATGGTTTTTCAGAGCAGCCATTTCTTCTGTTGGCTGAGTCTGATGCAACCAAACATCCCACCTCTCCTGAAGCAGCAGACAGAATGGTGGTAGCAGATTCCCCTGATAAAAACAAAGGAAAAGGATTTGCTGAGTTAGAGCAGCAGACTGGAAAAGATCCCAATATTGTGCATGGGATGGACAGACCTAAAAAAAAGCGTGGTGAAGGGAAAGTGAAAAAAATCAAAAGCTTCTCTGAGCAGGTGATGCTTTCCGAGGATTTAAGCAGAGTTACTGATGGAGTCAGGACAGATGAGACTATAAAAGAAACAACTTCCCCTGATAAAAGCAGAGGTTTTACTGCTAGGGGACATCCGTCAGGAAGCATTACACATGCTTATCCTCCTGACAAGACAAAAAAAAGAGGTAGTGAGGGAAGAAGTAAAAAAGGTGAAAGAAGTTTCTTCCAGCAGCCCTTTCTTGAGAATAACCCAAGTAATTTTCCTGACATAATTCCTAAAACTAAGGAAGTTAGTTCAAGTGATAAAGGCAGAGAGAGGGGCTGTGTTACTGCTGAGTGTTTTCAGGAGAATACATCAGATACAACTAAAATGCAAAGGCCAATTGAACTGGTAAAAGAGGAGCCTAAAGGATCTGTTGGAAAAAATGAAATAGCTGATCTAGGGGCTTTAGACCAACCATTCCTGCTGGAGAGTAGGAAAGAGGAAGCAAAGCTTCTTGCTGTGGCTGACACAATCAGCAAACCAAAAGAGGTAAATTTGATTAATAAAGGCAAAGAGGCTGGAACTACTTTTGCGGGTGAATCAGTTGTGATGAATTCTGATGCAACACTGGTGGCGGACAAACTTAGAAAGAGGTGTAGTGATGGGAAAAGAAAAAAAAATGAAAAAAGTCCTTTGGGGCAGACAGCTGTCCAGGATGCTGGGGTGGAAACAAGCAATCATCCATGCAGAGAGAAGGTGGCTGAATGCACAAAAGAAAGGACCTTTGGTAAAAATAAAGTGTCTGGTTTTGAAAGAGAGCTTTTGCTGGAGAATCTGACAGGTATAACCAAAGAGGTGCTGGAAAAACCTGAAGTCCAGGGTGGCACTAGAAATTTCACTAATCAGCCAATTCTTTCAGGTCGTAAAATAGAGACATCAGAGCCAGAAATAGTCAACGCTAAAGAAACTTGGCCCAGGAGTAAAGGTAAGGAACTAGATACAACTGAGCCTCTCCCAGAGCACGAGACGGACCTAGCTGTGGCACACAGTCCAACCAGGGAACTGGTGGTGGACAAGCCTAAGAAAAAAGGTAGAGATGTGAAAGGCAAAAAGGCTGAAAACAGTCTTGAGCACTCTGTTGTACTGGGTCCAGGTAACACCCCTGCGGTAGGTGACAAGGTGGGAAATATTAAACCAACTCAATCTTTTGATAAAGGCAAAGAGGCCGATTCTAGTACTTCAGTGAGTGTGCTAGGTGACCTAACTGATACTACTAAAGTACAAGCTCCTGCTATGCCTCTGGAGCCAGAAAAATCACACAAAACTAGTAAAGAGAAATGCAAAAAGATGGAGGCTAACTTGCAGCAGATATTTCTTCTGGAGCATAAAGCAGGTGCAGAGATGTTTCCTCCTCATAACGTGGAGATAACTGACAAATCTGAAGCAGAAGGTCCCACTCCTTGCAGTAGCAGGGGGGGACTTCCTATCCTAGAGCATCCAGCAGTGGCAGATCACACTCTGGCCACAGCTACTGATAAATCTAAAAAGAGAGGTTATGATGGAAGTAGTAAAAAAGCTAAAAATGCCTCTGAGCGGCCTGTTTTTCTAGAGACAAAACCAAACAGGAGTGAAGGGCAGCCTCCCATGGGATCTGAGATGGAGTATGGAATGGAAGACATGGATTTTGTAGATGAAAACAGAAATATTAAAAACTTCCCTATTGGCCCTCGAATGCCTTGGAATAATAAAGGAAATGACTTCGAATCCCTTGCTCAGACTGCAGTAACTGGCCCTGATAACACTGGCAATGTTTCTTCTGGCTTCCCAAAGCAGACAGAGGAGGGTGTAAGAAGTAAGGGGCTTCCTCCTGAAGCAGTAGCAGAGAAAAGCAGCAAAGAGCCTGCATCTGATGCTGAGAAGGAAACACAGATGCAGAAATCCTGCGAGCAGCCAATCGATCTGGGGGACAAAGAGCCTGCAAAAGAGGTTGCAAAGAAAGATGGTAAAACCAAAGAGGCTGGTTCCTGGGATGGTGGTGAGGTAGGTAAACCGCTTCCTTTGGATCATTCCATTAAACAGGACATTAAGGAAAAAGTTCACCCTTCTTCCGTGACAGAAGTGGATGATAAAGAAATAAGAACCACTGACAAAAAGCATAGCACCGACAACACTTCCTCAGACCTTCCTCAGAAGGTGTCAGATGCAAAAGATAGACCAGCCTCTGGAGGTGCCAAAGGGGTAGAGAAACTAGAAGAAACTGTCTCGTCTGGAGAGAAGGACACTGTGTGCATTTCCCCAGAACCTGGGGTGATACGGGAGAGCAGAGCAGAAGCAGCTGCTTCACCCGCTGTGGCAGAAACATTGGTGGAGAAGAGAGCTGAGGAGGGTGAGCAGAGCTCACTGAAGCACCCAGGCAGTCTGGACAATAAAGCACCTGAGGAGGCTGCTGGTTTAAATCTGACAGCTGCCCAAACAACCAAAATAAGTCCTAAAGATAAGAATAAAGGTCATTCTCAGCCTGCAGAAGAGGATGCTGCTCATGGTGGGGATGCTCACCTGAAGGATGCCCCTGCCTTGAAGTCTGAAGTAGATAAACCCAAAGACACAACTAAAGAAAAAGGAGAAGAATGTGAACAAAAAGCTGCGAAGGAGGCAAAGAAAGAGCGAGTTAAAGCAGCAGAACAGATAAAAGGCTACATGAGGCCCACGAAGTCAAGAGGGGTGTCAACTCTGCCAGCCAGGTCTGCTGCTCCAGACAGAGAGAAACAAAGGCAGCTGAAACCCACTGGTATGAGCCGGCAGAGGCAAGAAAAAGGTGTGTGTTTGCGATTCGAACTAGCAGCAGTAATCCAGGCAGCTTGTGTGCAAGACCTTGCTGTTTGTCAGTGTGTTGGCATGAATACGTAATTGTTAATCCCATGTGGCACAAGCGAGTGTGGCATGACTGGGTTTTTTTGGCTGATCTTAAAAGGCTGTTGGTTCTGCTTGCCTGTCTCACAGTGCTAATTCCCAGAGTTCCCCGGATTGACAGCTTGGTCGAAGTTCCACAACTCTTGATTATTTTTTGTTATTCATTCAGATTTAATTTTACCGTAGAATACTTGAGTAAAATTGCACTTTTTGGTGCTGAGTTACGTTAGCTTCTTGTCATCTGAGACTGAAAGTGACCTTCATCTGTGGTGCAATGGTGAATTATTGTGGTCACTGTGTGCCACTGGTGGGCAGGGAATGGAGGATTGCTGTGGTAGGAGATGTTCTCCATTGCTGCCATGTTCCAGGGTTTGGGTTTAATCCTACCTCAGGCTAACTACAACCATCTACTTTTCCTCCTGCAACTGGCCAATCTTAAGATAATTTGGCAAGTTATCTTAAGCTACTCTGAATGGCTACATTTACAAAATGTGCTTTCTTCTACAATACTTAAGCTTTACTAAAGCAGAGTTGTAACAAAACAATAGAGATTTTAAGACTTTATCTCTATGTTGAGACTATGGATGGACTGGTAAGCATTTTGAACTGTTTGCCCTGGCTGTTGTCAATAGGCTGTGCTCATAGAAAATGAGATTGAATTCATTTCATATAACTTAATGACTTCCATAGGAATTTTTGAAATGGAGAATATAGTATGGGTAGTGATTAAATAAAAAACATTCTTGTACTTCTGTTCATTCTAAACCTTCCTCCGGAAGAATTGGCATCTTCTCTGTGAATTCCAGTCTGCTGAGATGGGCTGGGGAAGTTTATCCCTGCCCTTAGGCGCTCTTAGTTTTTACCTTGTCATCAGGCATGAAAGTTTGTTCCTGTTCCTATTTCTGTGGAGTTCCTCGCTGCCAGTTTGCATGATGCAGCCACTAACTTAACAAACATAGAGCTCAAGTGCGCCTTAACATGCTGGTCAGGTTTTTGAGAGGTTTTGTAATTTTAATGAGTGTTGCATAACCTGAAGTACTTCTATTTTAGTGAAAGTGGTGTTCTCTGCATGAACTTGTGCCTGCAGAAGTAATGTTCTTTGGTGCATGATGCTACAAAATAAAGGGGAAGCTAAAGGCAGCATCTTTTTTAAAAACAATTTCTTTAAAGCCTTTCAGTTGTCTGCTAGAAGTCTTTATTTTCCGTTGCTGTATTCAAGGGAGCAGAATTTTAGTAGCAGATCCAAGCAAAAAGAAACGCGCTTCCTGAGTGTTTTGCACAGGTAAATTGTCTACAGAGTTGAAGGACTCCTGGCTCAGAGTAGCACCTCAGTGTGTGAATAAATTGGCACATAGTTTGCATCTGTAAGTTGGCCTGCCCTAAGTTTGCACAGGACTTTAACAATATTCAGTTGCTTTTGTCCTTTCAGCACTTTGTAGACTCGGGTGGTTTTTTTGTGGGGTTTTTTTTTTTAAGAGAAGCTCTGAATGACTGAGCTTGTTTTGGTGACATGTTGGTTGACATGTTCCTACAGCAGTTTAAATCCACATGCTGTCAGGTGCTGGGCTGCTGAGGAGTGCTGGCAGCAGCTCCAGCCCCTGGCACAGCTTTGGGCAGCCTCATGGTGACCACACAACATCTGGCTGAGTGACAAAGCGTAAGTCAAGCTCTTAGCAGCACAGGAGCAGGGAAGCAGATTTACTTTGCCATCCAGATACTACTGAAGCTTGTCTCTCCATCCGCTGCCCAACTCATAACAAAGCAACTGTTCAGTGAGTCGCAAAACGCCAGCAAACCCCAGACTGAATCCCTAAGTTGGCACAACTGGTGTGGAAGTGCCTTAGGCTGGATCTGAGGGTTGAAACAGTGAATTCATGCATCAGCTGAACACAAGTTAAAAGCAGAAATCAGTGAAGGGAGAGGTGTTGAGATTCACAGAAACCTCTGAGTTGGAAAAGCCCTTGAAGCTCCTCCAGCCCAACCATGGACCTCACTCTGACCGTTCCCAACTCCACCAGATTCCTTAGCGCTGGGTCAAAATTTGAGACCACGAGCATGAGTGTCCTTGTTCACTGGACAGAGGAAGGAGCTGCAGGGATCCAGGAGATGGTTATTTTAGTCCCAATTCTCAGTAAACTGTTGGGGCCACGGACTGTACGTACCCTCCTCGTGCCCGTTCATCCTCTCGTTCAGATAACAATTGACTGCTCAAAGGTTTTATATTTTAACCTGTCACTAGGACTTGGCCAACACTTCATCTGTATTTGTCAGGCCGAACTGTGAAGCTCCAACTCCACAACACCTAGTATCTACCCATATAAGCTATTTTTCTTTCCCCTGGTAGGCAGTCAGTGACCTATCAGAATAAGGCATGTAGGTATTTCGGAGGATCTTTTGCTAAAGTTTAGTAACTAAAATCTCTTTAGCCAGGCCCCCGTGTCTTACACTGTGTGTTCTAGAATAACAGGACGGCTTTCCTGAATGCATCAGCTCCGCAGCATGAACTGCTAAAATAGGCACGAGCTTTGCCATACAGCTCCCTTGGGAGTCATGGCAACCGTGATGCTGCAGATTTCTTTCACTGACGAAAGTTGTATGTATCTTTTATAAACTAGGCCTGCAAACTTCTGAATTTTTTTTTTTGTTCTAATTTTGACTTTGCAGCTTGAAGTTAGGAAACATTGGATGTAAGACTGTTCATGCAATTTGAATTTAATCCCTTATCTATCTTCTGGATTTATTTCAACTTCTCATTTTTGTTGTTGCCATTGTAAGAACTGCCCCAGATTCTTCTGGAAAATTATTTTATACCTTTTAATGTCAGGAGGCAGCTGAGATGATAACCAAAACACCTCAACATTATCAGCCTTTAAAATGTGACTGAGCCTTTATGTTACCTGTTGTATGGAATTAAGACTAAAATTGGAAATTCTAAATTGTTCTAAAATCTCTACTTCCAAGCAGGTGCCCTGGCTGAAGCAGGGCTGGGGATCTGATGTGAGGAATGGTTAACAGAGGAAATGATGGAAGGTTTTCAGTCATCCAGTGTTGATTTCTGCCATCCCTCTTCCCTTTACTCCTCAAGCTGTATTTCAACACTGAGACTTTCAAAAGATTTTATTTTTTTTCCTTCCAATCTGTCTTTAAAGAATAGTCTATTTCTAAAAAAGAAATCAATTTGCTTCAGTGTTTGGGGTTTTGTATCTTCTTAGGGTTTTTTTTTTGATTTGAGTAAGCTCTTCAGGAAAGGGGCATCTTTGTATGTCTATTGTAGTGATGCTCCAGCACTTAATGCTGTGGGCTTCGGTGCTGGCAGGATAAAGTGCTTATTGCATAACCACATTGTGGTCTAGACAGTTATGCTTCTGAATTATTTTCCCCAACATGGATTGGAGGGGCCTGTTGAAGCGGTCATCTGATGCTTAGTTTCTCTCTTCCCTCAAAAGCTTCCATCACAGTCTCTGCTGCTGCCCTCTGTGGGCATCCTTCCAGTGCCCGTCCTTTCAGCAGAGCTGATGACAAGCTGTCTTTGCAGCCCATTGGCACAATTGCCCTATGTAATACAGTACATATTCCTCAATATGACAGCTCTAAATCCCTTGTGTGTAAATAAGATGCATTTAAAAGCAAGAAATGCCATCCCTGCTTAATTACTGTATTTGCTTTTCTTTTACAGCCACAATGAAGCTGTCTTGCTAAATATTTTCTTTTCCTGACTGGTTTCCATTATACTGGTGTCATTATAATATTGTTGGTTTGGCATTTCCACAGTAACCTTTTGTTCATATCATGCCTGTAATTCTCCTGTGGGACCTTGAACTGCGATTGGGTTTGTCTAATATGAGCTAATCAGTGACGTGAAGGCGATGGGGCGGTGGGCTGTGTCCATCCATCTTACCTGAAATCATAACTGCAAATGCAGTCATGGACAAGGACCTCATAGTAACAGTGCTACATTAATAAGCTTTTTGAAACAGTCAGAATAACATCATATTGCAGCCTGGTCATTAATTAAGACCTGCTAATTATCCTAGTTAGGTGTATGAGAGAAGTGAAAACCAAATAATGTCCCCAGTCAATACTCATGTCAGTATTAAACGTATTTATGAAGCAACAAGAGAACTTTGCTATTATCTGCTTTCCCCCTAAACCTTTGCACTTGTGGGTTTGTATTTGATTCTACTTTAAGAGGAAGTTTCGTTGTGGTATCAGTTCTGTCAGTAACAAAAAGGTGAGTTGAGCCTAGAGGACATTTTTGCATATCTGCAGCTTGCAGTGTTTAGAGACATGTTTGTCTTCCGCTGAATCAGTGCACAGCTCTGAATATGTTCCTTTAAGTGTTGCTCAAAACAGTTATAACTGACTTCATGTGCTCATCTGGTTTTTAATAGTTGGGTTTGTACTGTGTTATGTCAATACTGTTTTTTTCTCTAGCTGGACAGTCTCATGCAGCAACTCTCATTTTAAGCTGACACCCCGTAGTCTCTGGCTAAGGCTCCCTCAGCTTTGTTTTCTTTCTTTATTTTATATTACTGCTCATCCTTGACACTCAGATTTTCAAGAAAAGCTCTGAGCAAAACAAATACACTTCTGTTTGTAAATTCTGCCAGGTTAAGAATGTTGAACACATTTCCTTAGTGGTGGTGTTGAACTTTCAGTGGGTATCTGAATTTCAAGCCTCATCTTTCCTTGCTGATGGTGCTGGTTCACTGCTTGTGTATCATTCAGTTGGCTTTGCTTTGCCTCTTTTTGGTTTCCTCTGTCAACTACTCTTACAACAGCTGGTAATATTTTGAGTTGGAAGTGCTCTTCTTGAGTGTGTTTTAATTCTGGTTTTGGCTGATTACTAGGATTTTTAATGTATTATATGTAAATTGGAAAGTAAGTGGGATTTGATCTGTCAGT